ACACAGGAGAAATTGCCTGAAAGAATTTAATAGTGTCAAATATGTTGAATTTAATTTCCTCAAATAGAAAGTAGAAAGTCACATTTAGAATTTTCTGATTAAGACTTTTATTAAAGTCTATCTTCAAGTCTTTCTTTGGCCAAAAAAAAAAAAAGTTTATCTTCAAGTTATATTTATTCCCAACTGCATATACTACGCGGTTTTCAACTGAATGTGTCAAAAATATATATAATCTTATAAATTTTTTTCAAAAAAAGTAATAAATTTTTATTTTTTTTAATTTTACTAATATTTTACTTTTTGTTCTTATAAAACAACAAATATATTTCAATATTAACAAGTACTAGTAGTTAATTTTTGTTCCTGGAATTATACCCAACCTAGGCCGCCAGTAATTGTTGAATTTTATTTTGCCAAAATATATAGTAAAACAAAAAAGAAATCTACATGAAAGTCGGAGGTTTTATGTTGTAGGCTCATACTTTTACCCTAAAAACAAGAAATCTAGAAATGGTTGAAGATAATAGGAAGCATATCGTCCAAGCAATGGTACTTCCATGGGAACAACCAACCTCCACATGAAAATATTAATATGGGGGACTTTGACTTTGTCTCTGTCTTATGACAAATTTCTCTTTTGGCTTGTCCATGATAAGATAAAATTACTCCCATCACTTTTCTTGCCTAAACTTTTTCAACTTAATTTGATTATTTATATTTTAAATATTAAACTACTTTTTTTTTATAAAGGTATGTTTGAAAACCTTTTCATTTAAAGTGGTTAGATTTTTTTTTTATGTTTTAATTAATAATATATTTAAAATAAAATAAAATCATAATATTTATGAGATAGAGAGATATAAATTAAATGGGAATTTTTTTTGAAATTTCTAATACATCCTTAAACTCTCATATCGTTATATTAACCTAGCTGAAAAGGATATTAATTTCATGCTCACACTGTTTAAGCATCAGCTCTAATATCAAATCAACAAATCCAAAGAGTCGTAAACATTAAATGGGAAATAAATGGACATGTAACAAACATTTTAACCTCACTTATATAACAATAATTCTAAAACCAAATGAGTCCGTAGGTTTTCCCTCATCGATTGTTTTAATGTGAATTGAGATTAGTGATTATATGACCTTCATTATTAATTTTAAAAATTTTAAATTAATTTCGATTTGTAATTAAGATCGTACAAAAAGTAAAAGAAACTTCATTTTATTGTGGAAGAATGCTTAAGGGAGTGTTCCCATGGAGCTTTTACCCTTTCTGTATGCCATTTGGAATCCCCTGGAATGTAGATTTTTCAATGACAATTTAGGCCAAATTGTCATCTTATTGGCATAATAAATTGGTTTTTCACGATGGCAGACGTAAATAGCATAAAACTATTTATTTATTTATTTATGACGGTTGAAAAAGTTAAAGAGTCACTAAATTCGATTTCTATTCACATTCTTTTTCTGCGAAAAAGCCAATGGGAAATTTTTTTTTTTTCATTTACCAATTTGATCAGATTATAAAAGTCAGGCAATTTTAGTTTGAGTGCGTCAAATCCCCCAATGCCATCATTGCTTATGATGAAGGTTTTCATGAGGAAGTGATGACATATAGATCAACATGTTATATTGACTGCCATCCCTTTTCCAAACTCATTCCGCGTTTGAAGAAACTTCAATTCCAAATGCATTGTTGCGGCTCAAAGCATCCGTTCTGGTTATGTAAATCTATAAATAGGGGAGCTCTTCATAAACTCTGCACAAAACCATCAGTTTCGAAAATCATCACTTTCAAAGATATGAAATCTCTTCACTTTTCAATGTCTTCAACATTTCTTTTTGTTGCTCTCTTCTCATTGTTATGGGCAACTTCAGCTCATGCTTATGGGACTTTTCTTGATTGCCTTTCTCTTCATTCCAACGACTCCTCTTCCATTTCTAAAGTTATCTTCACACAAAATAATTCTTCCTATTCTTCTGTTTTGAACGCCACCGTTCGAAATTTCAGATTCACTACACCATCTACCCCTAAACCTTTGGTCATTGTAACACCGCTCCATGCTTCCCATATTCAAGCAACAATTTATTGTTCAAGAAAACATGGGCTCCAAATTAGAACTCGAAGCGGTGGCCATGATTTTGAAGGTCTTTCTTATGTATCTGAAGTCCCGTTTGTCATCGTTGATATGGTTAATCTACGATCAGTTGACATTGATGTAGAAAACAAAGTTGCATGGGTTCAATCAGGTGCGGTTCTAGGAGAACTGTATTACAACATTGCTAATAAAAGCAACACTCTTGCCTTTCCAGCTGGTCTTTGCCCCACTGTTGGAATTGGAGGGTACTTGAGCGGAGGAGGTTATGGCTTATTATTCCGCAAATACGGTCTTGCAATAGATAATGTAATTGACGCACAACTTATTGATGTTGACGGGAGAGTTCTTGACAGGAAATCCATGGGAGAAGATCTGTTTTGGGCCATTCGAGGTGGTGGTGGGGGTAGCTTTGGAATTGTGGTTGCATGGAAAGTACAGTTGGTTTCGGTTCCACCAACTGTGACTGTATTCACAATCAACAAGACCTTGGAACAAAATGCGACCAAGCTTGTTCATCGTTGGCAATCCGTTGCTCCCAAACTTCCAGATGAATTTTACTCCGGAATTACACTAACAAGGGTGAATTCTAGTGAAGATGGGAAGAGAACAATTCTAGCTTCCTTTCATGCCTCGTTTCTTGGTGGGATTGATGAGCTGGTTCCATTGATGCAAGAGAGATTTCCTGAACTGGGACTAGTGAGGGAAGACTGCATTGAAATGAGTTGGATTGAATCTATTCTCTACATGGGCAACCTTCCAAATGAAACCTTGAATATTTTACTTGATAGGACATACCAAAGTCCTCTTCTTAGCCCTTCCTTCAAATCAAAATCTGATTATGTGAGGAAACCCATTCCTGAAATTGGATTTCAGGGGATGTGGTCAAGACTTTTTGAAGAAGAAGGAGCATCGGCTAGTATAAGTTTTATTGCTTACGGAGGTATAATGGATGAAATTCCATCGACTGCTACTCCATTCCCACATAGAGCTGGCAACTTGTACAAAATCGTATACAACGCAGGATGGCAAGAAGAAGAGAATATAATATCTGAAAGGTATATAAGCTGGATTAAGAGACTTTATAGTTATATGGGCTCCTTTGTTTCAAAATCTCCAAGGCAAGCCTATATCAATTATAGGGATCTTGACATCGGAATGAATAATGAAGGAAACACAAGTTTCGCTCAAGCAAGTGTATGGGGTCGTAAGTATTTCTTGAACAACTTTGACAGGTTGGTTCGTGTGAAGACCAATGTTGATCCACAGAATTTTTTCAGGCATGAGCAAAGTATTCCTCCTCTTTTTCATTAATTAAAAAAAATATTAGAATAACCTTTGAGAGTTAAACCTTTTATAAAAATATTTAATTGGAAATTGTGTAAAAAAAATAAAGAATTTATTAGGTTTTTTTTAGGCATTTGGGCATGATTCGTTGTATTACTACTTAAATAAATGTACGGCTAATTACCTTTGTTTTGTAATTAGTTCTAGATCATATATATTTATTGAATTTGTCTTCTCAAATTTGTATGCAAATTAATAATATAAAAGTGTAATATAGAAATAAATTTTCTCCTTGTGGTACGTTAGAAGAATTTCATTGGATTTTTTTTTTATGATAAAAAAAGATCATTGAATTTTAGACTATACAATAAGAGTACGACTTCATTTGAATTTAAATGTTACCTCGGTACAGTGTGGTTTATACTATTTTGGTGGAATGGTACCATTTGAAACCGTTTGGACAAAATTGGTGCAGTGCCCAACGGTTCCGAATCAATAGTTTTAGATTAAAGGAACAAAGTTTTATGAGTCACTACACTAGATTAATTTCTACAAAAACACTCCATTGACGCTTCAAAAAGCAGAGGTTGTGCTTGTAATGCTTACAAATCCATTTATCCAGAAAAACAAAAATTCACAAACCCAATACCCTCTTTAATCTCGGATTAAGCTGCCTGCACTAGCTCACTTGCCTATTTTATTGAGAAGTTATGGCTGCCTAAGTGTTAAATCATTTGCAGAGAGATACGTACTGTTCAGCTGAAGGTTCTTATACGATGAAATATTTTGCAGATAAAAGATTATGAGGAATATGAATTTCTAGACCCATTTTCGATCACTTGAACAAAAGGTTTATGTGCAACTGATACTTATGTTCTAGATTATCAATTCTTTGCGCAGAACATTTCTGGTAAGAGTGTTGTCCCTCCCTGTTAATTAATATATGTAGTTTACTAATAATGACTGCAAGAACATGAAGAAAATGAGGCAAAAGAGAAGATGGATTGGGTTATGGGTTGAAAAGATGAACAACATTTCAGGCAAAGACGAGACTTTGAGTGAACACAGGTGCGCAAGCCTGTCTCACCGGCACACGCAAACAAGGTTGTTTGACCAATGACATGCAAACAGCATGAGACATTTGGTTCTCTTGTGGACAGAATTATAACTATACAACGAATGATAATTCTCAACAACGTAAAAATTTGGAGGCTTTTAGCAGTAATTCGCCTGCTAGACAACTACCAATTCCATTTATGACAAAAATATATGTTATCTTTATAGGGCTAAAAATGGCCGGGAGATGGGTGCAAAAGAATTTAGTAGAATCTGATTCTTTGTTGACACTGAAAAAACTTTCACAATCACTGCTCTCTATCAGATATTTATCGTTGTAAACAACTTCAATTAGCTTACGAGGATACTTCTTCTACTTCCTTATATAAAGGAATCTGTAGCTGATATTTTAGTATAAATAGTTATCCTCTCTTTATGAAAAAAAAAAAAATTTGAAGCTAAAATACCTTAACTATTAAGATGAATCGAGAAGTCATTCCCACTCAATAATGTCTCTAAATTCAGTTCTGCGGCATTTATAATCCTAATTTACAGATAAGCAGCATACAAACTGTACCCAGAGTGGTCTACCCTTCACCTTCCTTTTCTGTCTCTTAATATCAGCTGGATACCTTGCAGGAGAATTCCATTCTTTCCCTGCTTCCGTATTGGTTGGCTCAGATACAGGTGTGTCAGGGCCCACAATTGAGCTAACTTTGGTAACCAAGGCTCCATTATCTTTGGCTACTTTCTCCTTTCTCGGAATTACAACAGCTGGGTTTTCTTTTGAGTTTGGGGACATCTGTTTTGTTTCACTATTGGCTTCACCCAGTAGGTTCTTCAGAGTGTGCTGCTTCCCATTCCGGTTAGTTAACTTTGCTATGATCTCTTCATTCTTCTTTCTTCCTGGAGACTCGTATGCCACATGAGTAAGAGAAGGAAACCAACCAGCTTGCAGAGGTGTGGCTATGGGGTCTTGTGCATTCTGTACTTTCTGAATTTCAGAAGCAGCAGCTTTTTCATCACGGCCTCCAGGTTCAACCAATGTCAAGAAAGATGGTGGCTCAAATTCACCTGATTTATCAAAATGTTGTTCTTCAGATGCAACTTTTGAATTCTTTATGTTGGCTTTCTCTGCTTCTGAAACTTCATGTGAACCAGTTGATGGTAAAGTTTCAGTGTCGACCATAGCTGGGTTACTTGATTGGGTTGAAAGAACTGTTACATGCACAAAAACAAGAAATGGACTTAATTCTTGGACCAGAACGCCCCCACTTTTATGCTAAGCAATAAACTAAGGTTTAGGGGGGAAAATGCAATGATACAGTAATTAATCAAAGCAAAACAAGAAACAGAATCTAAGCCATCTAAATCAAGACTATTCCGAGAAATACTAAATACATGATTGTGTATCCTACAATCTAGAGTAGCCTATTTCAGATTGAACTGGTTCTAAACTTTATATAAGTTTGTAAATAGTTAGGAAAGTCAAATTAGAAATTCCTCATCATGCTAAGACAAGTTTATATCACAAAAGGTTCTCACCACAAATTTAATGAGCAAGAAGATGCTAATGTACCTGAAACAGATCTCCAGTGGCCTTCCAAACTATCAGTTTGACTACTTGATTCAATTGAAACATCAACTACAGTTGTATCAAGTTGAGGTTTAACAAAGCCATTATCTGCCTGCCCCTGCAAAATTATAGTGCTAATCCCAGAAGCACCCATTCTGGACTCCCTGGTATGGCTATCGTCAACAGCACCAGAATTTTGACTGGTAGGCTCAGCATATGAAGGTGAATGCATCAATTCTTTCTTCAATTGGTCCACTGAAGTTCTCTCAAACTCATTTCCTCCAGTATTGCCTAATGCAGAAGCCATAAGATCTTCACCAGCAGATTCTCCTTGTACATTGTTATCCCCTTTTTTTTCAGATTCCTTTATGTCATCTTGACTGTTTGGAACTGTATTCAATTGTGGGCCTTCTGTCTCAGGTAAGGTTCTCACATAGTCATTATTCACTTCCTCTAAGACAACTGGGGGTTGATGATGAGTGCTAATGGATTCAAATATAGAGTTGGTGTTCATTGAAGCACATGCCTCCTCCAGTCCATCTCCACTTTCAACCACATTGATATCATATTTTTCAGTTTTTCTTGTCGCAATATCATCAGAGTTGTCAACTTCATGCAAGTTAAATGCTGGATTAATTTGGGACAAAGAAGAATTATTTGTAGATTCACATGATGCTACAGCATTTTTCACATAATTTTCATCATCAATTCTTCTGGTGTTGTCAACTCCAGCTATATCAATTGCCCCAGTTCTAGACCTTTCAGGAAATCCCATATCATCACCGCCAACTTCATTATCTAACCCTCTAGCCTCAATGTCAGCATGAGCAACAGCATGAGCAGTCATAGGATTCACGGCAGGTAAAAGATTTATCATGCTTCCTGAGAAACCTATCGGCTGTAAATCATCAGAAACATAAACAGGCTGCTGTTCTTTAAGAGGGCACACTTTCTCATTCTCAGTTGTATCGGCATTAACAGGAGACCCTAATGCATCAGACCCTTTATTGATCTGAAGCACATCAGCTTCCCCCTCAACAACCACTTCTTTAACCATAGCCTCAATAGGCTGCTGTTCTTTAAGAGGACAGACCTTCTCATCCTCAGTTGTATCAGCATTAACAGGAGACCCTTTATTGATCTGAAGCACATCAGCTTCCCCCTCAATAACCACTTCTTTAACCATAGACTCATTATTTCCACCTAGTCTATAGCTATCTTCAGCAGCATGCATATATGAAGAACCTACCTTTATGTCTTCATCCAGCTGATTTGACTGGAAAGTATCAGATTTCTCCTGAGAAACATGGTCACTGACTCCATCTTCCTTATCAATGATTATTTCTTCAGAAGCAAAGGCCTCCAATTGGGGTAATTTCACTCTCTTATGGTCTTTAAAACCCTCAAGCTTGATTACAGCATTGTCTGCAACAGGAATATCATCAGGAACTGAGAGCACATAAACACTTTCATTTTCCTTTTCCATTTTGTCATAGACCTCATTTGAATTGACAGAAGTGGCAGTGTCTGTTCCTTGTACTGCATCAGTATGTATTTGAAAGATATCTGTAGAAGCATCCATATTTTTTGCAGATTCAGCTTTCGGGGACAGATCATCAATGACCATATTGCGGGTGAATTTGTTACTATTCTCCTCTAATTCAACAATTTTGTCAGCCAACCCAGACTCTGAAGTTATATCCTCTGTCTTTTCAGATGGTACACTTGGATGCTTATTGTTTGATGCCACAACATCCAGTAAGTTTCTTTCTAAATTAATTCCTGGGTTTCCCTCTCCGTCAGTCTCTTGCTCACCATTTTCACTCGTGGATATCTTAGAAGCCAACCTGTCACTAAACTCTTCCTTCAGTTGAACCGTATTGTCAGTCAAAACCATATCTAAAGTTATGTTCAGTCCCTTTTCGGACATAGACACTGTTTCAGATATTTCGCCAGCATGTTCGCTAGGCAGAATCAAGCCACCCAATAGGTTTTTGTTTAACTTTCCTTCATTTTTATTGGTAGTATTCTCTTGCCTAACAGAGCATTCTGCCACCTTATCACCAGCACTGACTTTCCTACTATCTTCTGAGACATTCACTAGTGCTTCTGTTTTGATGGGGAACACATCACTAGCTGAACCATTTCTACTCTCAGAATCTTTTCTATAGCTCAAGCCAAGATCTTGGTGCGCCGGTGTGCCCATCAACAGCATAGGCATACTTTTCGGAACAGGATTTTCCTTTTGGCTTCTGTCAGCTGAATTCTGAGGCGGTTGAAGGATATCTGCATAGGTAAATGAAACCAAATTGTTAAAATTAGATCAACATTTACACTATAAAATATACCAACTAGCACCTCCATCAATGTTATCCGCCTGAAAAGCACAGTGAATTTAGTGAGAGTTTCATTTCTTTTATTCTAAATTTAAATGACAGAATTGGTAATATACATGTATTTTTAGCTGTGATGTGGTTGAGTAAGTTTAACCTACTATATACACTAGATTTCAGATCGTTGAAGCGCTCAAAGCAGTAAATTCCAACACAAAACTTCATGGGAAGTCGGGTTTAAACTGGTTCAGACAAAACAAAATAAGCTTCTACTTGGTTTGATATGGTTATTTTTATTGTCCAAAACGAAGTTTGTTATTATAGTTGACTTGAATCCTGAAAATCAAACACAAGTCATGACATGACATGTGATGTAAAAGAGAATTATTGCTTTCGTCCTTTGAAACATTTGGATCTTCTGGTTATGCTTTACACTTTGTTTGATAGATCATGAAGAGTTTTAACAAAAACAATGGCTTTCTCATGCAAAAATTCAATCAAATTTTGTATTTATGTCACATCCCATTCAACATGCATGAGTTCCAGGTTTATATTTCACAAATGTAAACTTTGGCTTTTCTTAAATAATATTTTAACTACTCTTAAACAGTGCCTACAAACACCAGTTAACCGGACCCTTTAGATAATAGCTATAAACTAAAGAAATGGAGACAGACTACAGCTAAGGCTTGTATACATGCAAATTAGATACACGGTTAAATTCAAAAACAAATTCTTCTACACGTAATTAAATTTTCTCAGACAAACTATTAATTAGAACATCTAACAGGCATACATGTCCAAACTCAAAATAATCGACATCAATTTATTGTCAGTCTCATAAAAAAAACTTACCGGTGTCTTCACAATCTTTAACAGAAATAGTGGCAGTTTGATCCTTCTCAGCATTCTTGTCTGCTTTGCTAACATTATCCAAACTGTCCTGCCTTCCCAGACTACTTTCCATAACTTTTGGAACTTGAGCGACTAGATTCACCAAAATTAACACAATTGATAATTAGCTCAACAAAAACTCTTATGCATCCAGACAAGCTCTTTAAAATCCAACAATTAGCCCCGAACTAGTCCATTTATATAGATCAGAACTAGTATAGAAAGAGACCATAATTATGAAAAAAGTGGAGCTCAATACAATTAGGAAATAAGACATGTGTACTCACTTGGGGTTTTGCGACCCTCTTCAGAAAGTGGTTCATCATCAGAAGCAGTTGTATGGGTGATATCCCCTGAGTCAACTAGCTTGTAACCTTCAATGGTTCCACAGATCTTCTTGTGAGCACGCCTGTGTTTTGCACTTGGATGTGGGTTTGGGAAAGGCCAACCACATTTGTGACACAGATGAACTACATGGCTCTCATGCCCTGCAAAATCAAGGAAAACCCATTAACCAGTTTTAAAAATATAAAATGAAGAAATCATTGCAAGCCAGGACAATTTTTTGTTTTTTACATAATGTGAAGAAATGTGAAAATTTAGAAAGTGTAAAACCAGAAGAAAATGAAAAATTGGTTAGTTTAAACAAGAAAAAAAATCCATAAAGGAGGGAAGAAAATAAAATTAAAGACAGAAGAAAGAAAAAAGATAGAGTCTTTTCAAGAAACAAGAAAACCAAGAAATAGTTTTTTCCTAGTAAAATAAGTAACCAACAAAAAGAAGGAAAATCAAACAACTTCAACCACCCCAAAAAATGATGACAAAACCAAGAACATAAAACCAAATCATACACAAAAAGGGGTGAGAAAAAAAAAGAAAAGAAAAACCTGAAGAATGACTTTTTCCCTGAACTGGATTATCCATAATTAAAAGGATTAAGGAGAAGCAAAGGTTTAGAGCTCCAGAGAGTGTATAGAGAAAGAAGAAGATAAGACACTTATTAAACCAAAGGAAGCATTTTTCTACAAAAGAAAATTAAAATCAACAAAGGAAGACTGCCTTATATGAATTTAGTATACATAGTAAGTAAAAATGAAAGTGGAAAGGGCCCAAGGATTACAAAGAAAAGAAAAAGAAATGGGTTTTTCTTTATAATATGCATGTGTCACTGGGTCAGCTACAATGGTGGGTCTTAACTCTCAACTCTTGTGACTTAAGAGGAGGTACGGAAACGTGACGGACTCTAACTCTATGATGATAACGGCATATCCTCTACTCCATGTGCGCTATTATCAACATCCTCTGCCCTTTTTTTTTTTTGGCCACCCTCTGTCCTTTCTTTTAGTAATTACTATTTAATTGTTGTTATCTACTGCCACTTACTGCTCCATGAATGAGAATTATAAGGAGGATGCTTGCAAAGGGTTGTATCCAAGTAGTTCAGGCTGAAAGTCTTTCTCGTATTTTCAAATTACAATTTTTTATATAAAAAATTTCGAAATGTTGCTATCTTTAAGGAAAGTATCGATGGTCACCAATGATTTGGTTTATAGAACAAGTTATGAGTCATTGAGTTCCATGCATAGGCATGCAATTGGGGAATAAATGAATGAGAAAGAGTTAGTATTGCTCATTGTAGGAACTAAACAATAAGCTAACAAAATTAGGGTTTTCAAATTTTATTAACCTACTAAATGAAATGAGTTTATTAATAACTTAGAGGTTAAATCTTTTATATGTTCAAAAACAATTTTTAAAAGAAAGAAATATGTGTACTTGTAGTTGGATTGTAATCTAATTAAGCTGGATTCATTTTTCTTTAATTCAATATATACTTTTGATTCATTTTAATTCAACTGATATGTACTGTCATGCACAAGAATTTTTTATTTATTTTTTAATAATAATTATATATTTAACATAAGTGGTATATTGTACAAAAATTTGTAGCTATATAAAAATAATAATTGAGTTAATAAAAAGCATATTATCTGAGATTTACTTTATTAATAAATAAAGTTTATCTCATATGCAAAATATATCAAATTAAAATAAAATTTTTTATTTTTAACATTAATATAAAATTAAAACTCTAAAGATAAAATAGAAGATAAAGTATAAATTTATCACTTACTTAGGTCTAAATTTATCATTAATTTTTTTTCTAAAAAGTATAGTGATAAATTTGTACTTTATCACATAAAATTTTTAATAAAATTAAATTTTTTACTTATGAATTTAATAAATCTAATCAATAGTTATAATAAAAATTATTTAAAATATTAATTCAATAAATACAAAAATTTTCCAACATCCATAATTTCAAAATGGAGTTAGTCTCTATGATGAACAAATTGTACACAGATTCTACCATAGATAAACTACAACTACATGCAGATGATTGTAACTTACATTGCACAAGGAGGACCCACCCATGACTAACATACACCACTGCCAAAAGACAGCATCTTTCAATTTCAAGGAAAGACTATAAATTCACACAACTACCATTAAATCTGACAATTTGATACTAAAAATTATCGTATCATACGTATTGATACATTAAATAAGATTTTATTTTTTATTTTTTACTTTTTACTTTTTAAATTTATATATAATTTTATATTTTTTATCATTTTTTATTTTAAATTATATTCACACTCCGAATTTATCGTCGTCCATCAATTTCCAACGGCGAATGAATACGAAACTCTGACTAAACAGCAAATGTAATAAAACCCCAACAACCTGACAAAAAAGTCATTTGCAACAAGAATGGTTAAAATCGAATCACCTGTCGCTTATTGTTAGATTGATACGTTTCCCAAATACGAGGCAATCCCAATCTTTGCTCCTCTTTACGCTTCTGTTCTTTCCCCTTTTGTGTTTTTCTTTACAAAGTTCCCCTTTCTTTTACAACCTTCAACTGCTTTGACGACCCAATCTAACCAATACGACAGAGATGTGCTTAATATTGTGCTATGTTTTGTCTTTGTAAATTTTGGAAAATCAGAATTATTAATGTTTTCATGCTTGTAATAATAATTTATACATATAGAGTGTTTCCATGCTTATATTGTTAGAGATCAAATGTGTTTAATTGTTTTATGATAGGTTAGAATGCGGATACGTCCATAAAATCTAATTGCAAGTTGTTTCAATTATTAAAATTATTGAAATTATTAAGTTGTGTGAATTTTAATCATTATTTGATACGGGATAATCATTCAAAAAATTATAATGATTTATGCATGATAATTAAGTCATTGTATTTGGTAACTATTTAATGATCTTACATTACCGTGATATTATATCACCAAAAAGTGATTAGATCATCACTTTGTAATGTGATTTAATTCTTATCTAAAAAAATGAAAAATCAAAGAGTGATTAAATTTTTGTTATCTTGAAAGGTAATTTAATTCAAATCTAAAAGGGTAAGAAATTTTTATTATCAAAATGAAATGAAATATAAAATTAATAATAGTCAATATTACCCATTTAATATATGAATTAAAAACTTACTCTTTAAAATTAATTGTTATTATTTTATATTATAATTTTTATATTTTTAAATTAATATTTATTGTAATAAGTTCAAAAATATTTTGTGTGATTTTTTTAATTTTTAAAATTATTTATAATATAATCTTTTGATTTTAATATATTATTTTATTTTTTAATTCAAAATATTTACATAATTTATACTATTAAACCTAGCTTACTATGCATAAATATATTTTTAATTTAATAATTTAATTATATTTATTATAAAGTAAATAAACTATTAGTAATATTTTATATACATATTATTATATTTAAATAAGATTAAAATTATTAATTTATATAGCTATTATAATATACATAGTTATTTTGGTACTTTCAAACAAAATAATGTTTTATTTCTAATAATACAAAATACAGTTATCTTTAATTATCAAGAATTAATTATTTTTAACCAAACAACATGATTCTAGATCACGATTCATAAGATCACTTTAGTAATAAGATCACTTTAGTGATTAAATCAACATGATGATTTTAAAAATGATACCAAACGCTACCTAATATTAATTGTCAGTTCAGGAAAGTAAATATGTGTATTGATTTTTTATAACTACAAAGTGAATTTACTTTTTACGTTGAGAGTAAATCGTTAAATCTTATTTGTTCATTTTTTTATCATTTAAAAAAAACTTTAATCTTTATGAAATTTGACTTTTTCACAAAAGTAAAGATAAAATGTAAGAACAAGCTTATAATTTAAGAGATTAAACAATTCTTGATAGAAATAGCATGAGACAAAATAGAGTCAGAGAAAAAAAAGAGAGATAAGCATAAAATTTCTTACCTCTTTTTCCATTTCAAGGCAATGTTAAATATCATAGTGCTAGATAGTATTTGGGCTGTGTTTGTTGAGGGTGGTAATAAGCTATGGAGAGTGGTTCATAGTGGTGTAAGGTGGCTTTTTCAACTAGTTTTTCCTATGTTTTATTTTTTTATGGTTTTTTGTAAAATTTTGGTTAATATATTTAAAATAGGTTTCTAATAAAATAAAATATAAATATAGATATTTTGTAATTTGTAGACACACATATGTGTTCAGGATCAATCAGTGTATTATTATTATGATTATTATTATTATTATTATTATTATGTTTCTTTCCTTTTCTTAATCTGCGTTGAATCAAGCCATGAATTTGCATAATCAAAGATCTTTAATTCATAACCAAATCAGATCAATTAGCCCTGCATAACCTTGCCTAAATCACGTCTGACATAATTCAATCCCAGGATTCAAGCTTAAATTGATTTTATTTGGACAGAATCCAATCCCAAGATTCAAACCTGAATTGGTTCTATTTCAACCCTAAAATTTCTACTAAGGATTGGCTATAAATTAAACACAATATTGCAAGGAAATGGACGAGTTAATTTCTGGGTAAATGAGGAGTGAATTTTTAAAGAAAAGACGAGTTAATTTTTGGGAGGAAATATTTTTTGATTTAGAGTTTCTGATAGTAGATTTTCTGGAGGAATTTCTCAAGGTTTGAATTTCTAGATTTCATTTTCAAGTTTTGGATTTGAAATTTGAAAATCTAGATTTAGGTATAAGTTTATGGGAAATTTATGGAAAAATCTAGGTTTAAATATAAATTTCTGAAAATTTTTTGAAAAATCTAGGTTTAGGTTGAATGTTTGAATTTTTTGGCAAACTTTGAATTTTTCAGTAGGATTCTGGCAATTTTTTTCAAAAACCAGCGAGTTGCCCAATTTTCGATGACTTTTTTTAAGATTTTTTAAAAAGAAGGCAGAGAAAAATTAGATTAGAGAGAGAAAGAGGACCAGAAGCTTCTGAAGAAAAGCTAAGGAACTTGGCTTTTATATGGCCCCATTACGATGTCGTTTCTAAAGACCCAAGACTCATGTGAACCCGAACAGCATTCGCATGTTGCTCGTGGTTCAACCCAACTCAATCATTAGGTTTCTTTTTTCTATTTTACTTTTATTTTCTTATTTTTATTTTTTAAGTTTTTATTATTTTATTTTCAATTATTTTATTTTATTTTACTGTTTTTTTAAATTGAGCAATTTATTATTTATTAAATATTCATTTTTATTATTTATTTTTTGGAAAACAGTTTAAAAAAATATATAAAAAAATAAAATTTTCTCTTTTCAAATAAATTCATAAATCTTATCAAATTATTGGAGGATTTTTCATATATTTAAATATAGATTCTACCAAACTATTGAGAATTTCATAAATCAATTTTCACAAAAAAAATAATTGTTAACAAAGTATTTTATATTTTATCCTACCAAACTATCATCTTAAGTTAAATCTTATCAAAATATTGAAAGATTTAATGAATTTTCTCAAAATAAAATTTTATAAATATTTTTACAATAAAATCTCATCAAACTATTGGGGGATATACATTAAAGTAAATCCTATCAAACTATTGAAGGATTTTACTAACTATTTTCTTAAGTAAAATATATTAATAAATCTAATGACGGAACCTCTTCAATGTGAGACATTAGTCTCCATGAATACTCTTGAGGTAAGAGAATTATATTAAATTGCTACCAAACAATTGGAGTAATTTTAAAATTAATTTTTAATATTAAATATTTTGATAAATTATAAATATTTTTAAGGTTTGGATAATTTGAAATCAAACTGATACTATCTTTTGATGGTCATTATAAGGGTACTATAACTTTTTTTACACGTAACTGTACTTCTGAACCTAAAATCTAGTTTCATGGATCAGAATCTACTATTTAAAGATATTTAAGTCAATCTTGAGATTCTTCTTTGAATATGACAAATTTAATTAGA